TTTGTCAATGTGTGCAATTTGGAATAGCTCGGCACGGATTCAAATCGTAATTTCTATAAACGTAACATATCTATAGTTCTTTAATATCATTGATCACCACCCTTATTACTTTTAAATGTTTTGAAAATATTGTTATTCATGATTTTCTCTATAATAACAACGCAAGTAAACAATGACAACCTTACTACAATGCAATGACAGTCAAATTAAATAAAAAATAACAATCTACCGCAAACATTTAACATTTAAATTTAATCACTCCTTCGCATTTATTTATAGCAAAGTTTGATAAGTATAGAATACAAAATGATATTATTTAAGGTGTTTTTTATTACTTTGTTTATACTTATTAAGTTATATTTTATACGTACAACTTTTTATATATTATGTATAACTGTTTATATTTTATACTTGATAAAATTATGGTATTTTGTATAAATCTTTATGGCATTGGTTTAGCTGCCAATAAACGTTATGACTAGAAATCGTTATTGAAAAAAAAGTAATGCAAAAAAAATATATGCTAATAAATGATTATTGTAAAAGTGGTTATGGAAAAAAAAGTTTTGCCTTATGATTTATTCTGTATGAACGTTATGCGAAATGATGATGATGCCAAAAAACTTTATGCACCCTTAAATTATGTCTTTTTTTTTATGCAACCGAATATGGACCCGTCTGTCTCTGGCCGAGACGCTGCGCCTGCGGCGCGCACTCCCCGCGCCCTTCGCCCCGAGCGTATTTACGTTCAAAAACTTATGATCCATTGAATCGTAAAATAAAAAAAAATAACATTTTCAAATGTTACATCTACTTACCACATCATTGCGTTTTACGCGCGGAGTCGTCGACTACAGCACTACGCGTCGTTTTTAACGCCTCATCAAAAACCTCAAGCGGTCAAAGCTTGAATGATGTTATGTATCGAGGTCCCAACCTTCAACAAGACCTCCTATCATTAATTATCAAATGGCGTCAATATCAATTTGCATACACAGCCGACATTGAGAAGATGTTCCGGCAAATTCTTCTTCACAATGACGACCAAATCTATCAAAAAATCATCTGGAGAGACTCGCCTTCTCAACCCATGCAGGAATACCAACTGTCTACTGTCACCTATGGCACAAAGGCAGCCCCGTTTCTCGCCATGATGGTTTTAAAACAATTGGCCGAAGATGAAGGCCACAAATATCAATCTCCAGCCGCCAAGGTTCTACAAGAGCAATTTTACATGGACGACCTGATCAGTGGAAGCCATGACGAAGTTCAGCTATAGAACGCCAAGGCATCTCTGCCTGAAGTTCAGCTATAGAACGCCAAGGCATCTCTGCCTGAAGTTCAGCTATAGAACGCCAAGGCATCTGCCTGAAGTTCCCATAACGGACGCCAAGGCTACCAGCCTGAAGTCCTGAACAATGAACGCCAAGGCTTTAGTAAGCCTGAAGTTCAAGTAAAAAGAAAAACTCGTACATACCCTCGAAAAAGGCTGCACATGACTCCGGGCACCACTCGCCGCGCCAGGGCACCATGTACTGTGCCGCTGCTTGCGTGGTCTTCCCATAACTGCCACTGAGCAACTTGAGCTCGTACCGTCCATTCGGTAAAACCTTCATGACTCGATAAGGGCCTCGCATCCCCGGATCGAGTTTTCCTGTGGACTGGGAGTACTTGATGACGAACACCAGGTCATCGAGTTTAAACTGGCGAGGTGGGCGCCTAAGTCGGTTAGCATATTCGTCTTGTCGTTGTTTATTGGCAGCCATCAGCTCGCTAGCCCGGCTCCGGCAAAGCTCACGCCACGCTTCTCTGTTAGGGTTGGTACCCTCAACAGCAACGTCACGAACCAGGTTTTGGATAAGTGGCGTGGTTCCATCGGTGCCAATCATCAAGTTTAAGGGTGAAGCCTGGGTAGTTTTCTGCTTGGTAATGTTGACAACCAATTGCAGCTTCCACAAGGTTTCGGACCAGGAGGAGGCTTTGTGGTTCACCTCAATCCGCAGCATGTTAAGAATGGTGCGGATGTATCGTTCCGCCTGACCGTTCGCGTGGTGCATTTCCGGTGTAATGTAGTGCAAATCACTCCCTAACTCAGTTATCCAGGTCACAAATTCTCCGGACTCAAACATTCGTCCCCTATCGGTAACAATCAACTTTGGGACTCCAAATAACGATACCGCTTGCATAAAAGCCCGTTTAAGCTCACCGACGTCTTGGCGGTAGATTGGGTATAACAGGCAAAATTTAGTGGAGGCATCCACTATAACCAAAATGAACTTGTACCCATTAGACACAGGGAGAGGACCCAAAGCGTCCACGTGAATCGTATGGAAAGGGGAATCGGGTTTTTCCCAAGACGTTATGCTCTGATTTGGGGATCTCGGTACTCGTTTCTTGGAGATGCACACTAAACAGTGCGCCACGTATTTGTTTACGAACTGTCGGAGTCCCGGGAACCAGAAATGTTTAAGGATCAAGTCGAGAGTTTTGTCGGCATTAATATGCCCGTGTTCGTCGTGAAATATTCTTAAAAGACTGAGCCTGTGCCCCTTGGGAATATAACATAGCAGACGAGCATCTTCGCCAACAGGAGAGTATTTGTAATACAAAAGGTCATTTTGCGTAACGTAACGTGTCGAGTCTAATTCGCCATCCCGCAACTGTTGTATCAACCCCTGTGTCTCATTATCCGCGGATTGTGCTATCTGGGCCCAATTACGCGGTCTTGAGACTTGGTTTGCTACAACAACTGAGGGGTTGCGGCTGAGGTAGTCGGCGTGTGGCATCATAATTCCCTTTCGATAGTCGATTGAGAAATTAAAATCTTGGAGGTAAATCCACCAACGCGCGACACGTGGCAGCAAGTCCTTTTTGCGCTCGGTGGCCTTCAAGGCATTACAGTCGGTAACTACTTTAAACTTTAGACCCACGAGGTAGTGTCGGAAGTGCTGCAGTGCCTTGACGACCGCCAGCGTTTCTAACTCGTATGAGTGGTATTTACTCTCGGCACCTTGAGTTGCCTTACTGAAGTATGCTACCACGTGCTTGCTACCGTCGCTGTGTGTTTGTAACAGGACCGCGCCATACCCGACGCTGCTCGCGTCCGTATGGACTTCAGTTGGTAACTGAGGATCGAAGACTGCAAGGACAGGTTTGTTAGTAAGGATGGTAATCAACGTCTGACGGACATTTTCCTGATCTGGGCCCCACTTAAACTCGACATCTTTTTTGGTCAAACGGGCAACACATGCAGTTAGTGAGGCATAGTTTTTAATGTAACGACGGAAGTACCCTGCGAGCCCCAGAAACTGGCGTACTTGTCGTACGTTTTGAGGAACAGGCGAGTTCGCAAGGGCCTCGACCTTTCGTGGACTCGGCCTAACCTGACCCTGACTCACTACTCTCCCAAGATATTCGACCTCTGTTGCCAGAAACGTACACTTCCGCAGATTTATGGAAAATCCAGCGGCAGTGAGCGTCTGCAGAACCTCTTTCAGAAGAGAAATACCCTCGGAGACGGTGGAGCTCATAATCAGTACGTCATCAACATAGACTAGCACTTGACCTGCCTCCACAAAGCGTTGCAAGGTCTTGTTGATGATGCGTTGATACACAATAGGTGAGTTCGTCAATCCGTAAGGCATTTTGACATATTCATAGTGCCCATGTCCAATTTTGGTACTAAAATGTAAGTGCAAAACTAGTGTGTCATGCTTAAGCAATGTAATAGTTAGTTCTCATCGACACCAAGAGATGGCGCTGTACGGTTTTAGATCGCGGTATCGTTTTATTTTTTCTGATCTATATAAGCATTTGGTGTCATGAGGATTTCGTTCGCTCTTTGAATAAACCTGGTGTTGTTTTCAAAGCAGTTGGTTTTATTTAGTAGATTTGGGCCCTTATTTTACACTACATATGTTTGATATTTCGTCACCGCGCCCGCGAGTCAACGTGAACAAGCACTTAAGTGTGTAACCTGAGTGCGTATTTTACATTGCAGTCGGTGAGCCAACTAGGGCACGCGTTGTGCGCGTCACGACTGCAAGAATGCTCGCTGGTGCACGTGTACTGGCCGCGCGAGTTATGCGCGCTGCTGCGCGATGACGTCGTGCTGGTGGACTCGCCCGGCGTCGACGTCACGCCCAACCTCGACGAGTGGATCGACCAGTACTGCCTGGACGCGGACGTGTTTGTGCTGGTCGCTAACGCGGAGTCTACGCTCATGGTCACCGTGAGTATAACTTACTTCACTTGCTCGCTGGTGCACGTGCACTGGCCGCGCGGTGACGTCGTGCTGGTGGACTCGCCCGGCGTCGACGTCACGCCCAACCTCGACGAGTGGATCGACCAGTACTGCCTGGACGCGGACGTGTTTGTGCTGGTCGCTAACGGAGTCTACGCTCATGGTCACCGTGAGTATAACTTACTTCACTTGCCCNTGCGGAACTGTCGAGTACTAGTCCACTAGCGCGGTACTACAGTAGCGCGACATACCAGCCATCTCCTTCTGCGCCTCGTCCATCTCGTGGCCGATGTCGGTGGACAGGCGCTTCTTGAGGCGCTGGCCCAGCCCGGCCTCCACGTGGCGGTGCAGCGCGCGCTTGTACGCCTCGAGCGCCGCGCGCTCGCTGCGGAACGGCGTCGAGTACTCGTCTACCAGCGCTGATAGGCGACGGATCTCTTGGCTCAGCGTCAGCGACACCTGATAACAAACATGTGATTTGATACAAATACATATTAGACTAAGAGCTAGTGAACGCTAGACCTACGTCATTTTATAAAAGCTGAAAGTTTGTCAGCGTATGCTCCCAATATAGGATATAATGTTGGTAAATTATGGAGTTTGGGTCGTGGTGGCTTTGGGAGCTACCCTAAAAAAACTGTCTGGCAAGGAGTTGGAACTGTCAAAACTGTCTGGCTGTTGGGGAAAATACTTGTAATTATTGCCCAAATATTATACATAAAAATCAGATTTAATGGTATAACATTGGTAGAATTACAGTCTATTGAATATACAGAAAAAGCCACCGTAAAAGTTAGATTTACGTTACACTATAAAATCTGATTTTTATGTATAATACTTGGGCAATTACTAGAAGTATTTTCCCCAACAGCCAGACAGTTTTGACAGTTCCAACTCCTTGCCAGACAGTTTTTTTAGGGTAGCTCCCAAAGCCACCACGACCCAAACTTCATAATTCACCAACATTATATCCTATATTGGGAGCATACGCTGACAAACTTTCAGCTTTTATAAAATGACGTAAGTCTGGCGTTCACTAGCTCTTAGTCTATATCGGTCGATATTGTCGGCCGTTTGGTGTAGTGGTTCGAAACGGACTACTATTCCGGAGGTAGCGGGTTCGATTCCCGCACAGTACAAACATTTGTGTGCATGAACATGTTTGTATTGGACTGGGTGTTTTCTATGTATAATATGTATGTATTTACAAAACAAAAGTATTTAAGTATGTTTATATCCGTTGTCTAGTACGCATAGTACAAGCTTTGCTTAGTTTGGGACTAGAAGCGCGGTGTAAAATGTCCAAGGATATTTATTATATTGAGATTCGAGTTACGTGTATGCTGATACTGAGGGAGAAGTCACTGCGACGTCCTGCATATAAAAATAAATGATATGCCAGACGGTGCGTTCCGGCGCCGCACCGCAGGCACACCGCACTTCGATTGAGCCAGACGGTGCCGTATTGCGACGCCGCATACCACAGGGGCACAGTGATGCGACAAAATATTTCGTGTGGCTTCTCACTGAGTTCATACAGATAGTAAGTTAAAAAAATATTAAGAAGGCTCAAGGACACCCAAAGGGCGATGGGGCATGCTGTACTCGGAGCCGACTCGGAGTTTCCCTACGTGATCGAATCAGAAATGAGGAGATCCGCAAAGGAACCAAAGTGACTGACATAGCCCACAGAATTGCTAAAATCAAGAGGCAGTGGGCGGAGCATATAACTCGCAGAGCTGATGGCCGCTGGGGCAGAAAAGTTCTCGAATGGCGACCACGGGCCGAAAGACATAGTATGGGCAAGACCGCCACTATAGGTGGACCGACGATCTGCCTGGATGCGGGTGGCGCAGGACCGGTCGTTGTGGAAATCCTTGGGGGAGGCATTTGTCCAGCAGTGACTGAGTTTCTTGCGCTGCTTCTTCTCAGCACTGTCCCATTTATTGTCCCGAAGCAGTGGTAGGGTTAGTACTGGGACGTGTAAAAGTGCTTTTTAAAAGCCTATTTGCAAAAATAGATGAGTTTTAGTGGTCGTCGTATTGGTTGAAACGACAATTAAGACATCTGCGCATGTTTCCCCAATGTCCATGATTCGTGGCGGTACTTTTTTTTAATCCACAACGAGGAAGCTCTTGGCCTGTATCTCACCTGATGGCAAGTGATGATCTTTTTTTTTTTTTTTTTCGTCAGGAAAATACATTGATTTGTATACCCACCAGCCGCGGGGGCAGTTAGTGGGTTATGTGGGGTTCTCCCTGCCTGAAGGGCAGGGCCTACCCACTAAAAACCTGACGTTGCCCTCGGTAGCCATATGAGTCGGGAACGCGGGCCATCACTATCGGCGTTTTGCCTCAAGCATTCGTCCGCGTTCCCTGCTCGGCATTTCACTCGCTTAGTGCGCAGCCCCAAACCAAGGAAGGCGTTATTACGCCTTCAACCTCCTGCGAGCGGCACGCAGGACACGTGCTGCGCCGTCGCGGCCTCTTTAGACGCCACCAGACACCCCCGTATCTGATAGCCGAGGCCTATTAGGAAGGGGCAGATGGAGGGCATAGAGCCTCCTTCTGTGCCCATGACGTCGGCGGCGGGCAATGGGTGCGTCGGGTGATGCTTCCCGCTCCCTCTCCGGCGCTTCCTTCTGTGAAATGACTGCTTCACAGAAGGTGAGAACTCCACGCCACGCCTCCTCTCCGTTGGTCATATGGTGGAGGCAAGTGATGATCAGGGCGAAGGTGCTTCACCCGGAATCCTCAAAACCACGGAGGACTGTACTGTGTGCTTACCATGAGTTTACGTTAGGTGTGCTCGCTAGCATGTCAAAAATTTCTATGAAAATTTTATTTCTTGTAAGTAGCCGCTAGGGGCGCTGCACAATATGTCATACATTATAATGTCATTTTTTTACGCACTCCTAACGTAAACTCATGGTAAGCACACTGTACCTTAGTTAGTTAGTTTTGCAGGGCAATCGAGTACCGCACTTAGCCTAATGATTGGGCCATTGTGCGCGATTTGTGGTTTATCTTCCTACTCCAACCACCCCAGATCCCCCCAGAAGGCGAGCAGCCTGTCTAAGCTGTTACAGGCCTCCTGCAGCGACGATGGTGATCGAAGAAATTGAGCCCGTTGTTCTGCTACGCTACTGCATTCCTTGAGCACATGCTGCGGTGTTTCCTCTGCCTCCATGCACCCCCTGCACAGTGGGCTGTCTGTAACACCTATGTTGTGTAGGTGCTTGTTTAGCATAGTGTCCGGTTATGACACTCAGGACCTTGCGGATGCTGTCCCTGTTTAGTCTGATGAGGCTGCGGGAGAAGTTTGTTTGTAGGTACCGTACCTTGTGCTCGACGCTCTCGACCATGCGGTTGATCTTGTCCTTCATCTGGCGCGTGATGGTGGTGAGTTGCTCCTCGATGGCCGACAGCTGCTCGTGCAGCACGCGCTGCTTCTCCACCATCGACGCCTTGCGGTCCGTCGCGCTGTTGTACACCTGCCGATGATTACGTCACTATTATGTCTTGCTGTGCTGACTTACAGCACCGAAGTGTTACCTACATTGCTAGAAGTTCATACTTAGGAGAAATTACAGGGTTAAGTGGTCATTTGCATAACTTTAATACAAGAAACAAAAATAAACTTGCCGTTCCAAATTTCAGACTGCATAAGATTGGGAATTCATTTATGGGGAAATGTATTAAAATATTTAATAAATTACCACAAACTGTTGTAGAACTACCCATTCATAAATTCAAAGCACATATTAAAAGTACCTTAATGAAAAAGGGCTACTATAAAGTCGATGATTATTTAAAAGATAAAAATGTTTGGGATGCGTAACTGCCTAGCTCGCATAAATATTTAGAACTATGTATTTTGAAAACCTGTAAACCTTTGAAAAAGAGGCTGACAATAGTGTCTGAGTTTCTTGCGCTGCTTTTTCTCAGCACTGGCCCATTTATTGTCCTGAAGCAGTGGTAGGGTTAATACTGGGACGTGTAAAAGTGCTTTTTTAAAGCCTACTTACAGAAATAAATAAGTTTTACTGAGTTTTCATAGTTTCCTTTCAGATCGAGTTCAAAAATGAATAAAAGTAACATGAGGATAATGAAAAATAAGTGTATGTGTGAGTTGCAAGGGACGTGTCATTTGTGGCTAAAACGATAAAAGTCAGATTCCGTTGGTGACGTCACAAGGGGGAAGGAGGAAAGAGTGCGTGCTTATCTTCTGTTGACATCACTGAAGAAAGAGAGAACATTCGCTCAATCGGGACCAATTTCAAAATATTGGCGAGGGCTGGATATGGCCCTCCCATATCCACATACAGCCCTCGCTGTGGGAAGGCAGGGTCGAGGTCCGACCTGTTCGAGCGCGGTTTACACTTCAACAACGATCTTTTAACGCTGCGCGAACTTATTACATGGTTACAGGGCGTGGGAGCCCGTATGGGTATTTGAGGGACGTCGAGCAGTAGCGGCGTAAGGGGGGGCGGTGGGGGCGGTCCGCCCCGGGTGCCAAGCATCAGGGGGTGACACAAGTTGCGCAGATTAGTACTCACTGGCACATCTGCATGGCAAATCTGCGGTCTATGTCATGATACGATAAGATTGTCTTTCAATCTTCGAATCACCCCAAAATCCTGGGGGGTACCAGAGGGTGCCTTAGGACTTATGACGGGGGGGTAAAATCGCCCCGGGTGCCAACCCATGCTACGCTGCCTCTACTCTGCTTGAGGTCATAATAATTATAACAGGAGCTTTGGGGAGGCGGGGTCACTGACCTGCTCGAGCGCGCCCTGTACGTCAGCAGCGATGTTCTTCCCTCGGCGCGAGTGCTGCGCGAACTTGGTGCGCACGGCGGACTGGCTGATGCACTCCTCGAACTTGCGCTCGAAGTCCACGAACTCGAAGTAGCGGACTTGGTGTCCTTCGGCAAGGATTGGCGCTGCAAACGATTACAACTAATTAGAACATTTTCTCATTTTGATAATAATCTAATAATGGTGGATGATAGCTGGCGAAAGGACATCATCCACGTTTCATATATTTTTGGTCCAAAATCAAAAGTGCCGGCCAACAAAAAAAAGTGCTGTATTCTGACAGAATACGTCTGCCTTAGCATTTGTTATTATGGCACCAAAGCCGTAGCTCCACTGTGCGTCGAGTATTTGAGATCTAAAAGTCATCAACTATTCATAAATTTTTTGTTCAAAATCAAAAGTGTCGGCCAATAAAAATAAAGTGCTGTATTCTGACAGAATACGTCCGCCTTAGCATTTGTTACTATGACACCAAAGCTGTAGCACCACTGTGCGTCGTAGTATTTGAGATCAAAGTCAGTCGTTTCATATATTTTTAAAACTCAAATACTACGATGCATGTACGATGGGGGGTTCGATAGGGTTTTAGTGAGTAGGCTCCGCCTTTAGTGAGCAAGCGGAGGGAGTCCCACATTACCCACTGGCCGTAAAGCATTTCCCGACGTTAAAACCGGGACAGGCGGGGTACTCACAGGAGACGGGCTTCTCGCGCTCGCGCATGCGCGTGAGCAGCGCCTCCTTGGCGGAGATGAAGAAGATGCGCTCCTCCGCCTCCTTGGGCGAGCACACGCGTAGTTCGCGCGACAGGAAGTCCACGCAGCGATTTGCGTGCTGCGTGCGCACCTGGACAGGGAAACACCATTTCATTTATTTACTACGAGACTATTCCCATCGCTGCAACTTCTGTGTAGCCAGGATCTACAGCTTGAACGCCAATAAAAACCCAACCCATCTAGCTAAATTCCGAACGCCGAGCAGATAGAATTTCGTCCAATGACCCCAAGCGGGTAGCTTATCACTCGCGCGTAATTATATTGCTGTCGCGACTGTGCAACGGGCGGCCGCAGTGAGTATGCGAGCGCGACAGCAATATAATTACACGCGACTTTAGACGGTAAAACCCGTTAGCAGGGGTGAGGCTCACGCAGGATTAGACTCCGCCCATCGAGTGGCTTGATGCCGGCGCGGTAGGCATGCAAGAACCGGTGATATACATCTACCTTGTGGTCAGTTAAAACTCACCTGTTCCAAGTATTCTGGTTCGGATGCGGAGGCGTCCCATCGATTGTTCAGTATAAATATATTCGGCTGTGATATCTTCGTCGACACTTTGTGAAAGAAATTCTTTTCCTGGAACAAAACAATAACATCAGTTTTACTCTTTAATGCCAAAAATATTCTTTCTTTCAGCCACAGGACGTCCACTATACATAGATTTCCATATTGACCGGATGGTAGGGGCCTGCATCCAGCGCCTTCCTGCTACCTTTATAAGGTCGTCGATCCGCCTTGTGAATTTATTTATTTATTTGAACACCAACAAGGTTACATTGAGGCTTCACAAAAGTAACTGAATAAGTAGTAAGTGAATTGGTCGTCTCACCCTGAATTTTTCGCCAAGCCAAGTATAAATAAAATTAGGGCAAGTGAAGTAAGTTATACTCACGGTGACCATGAGCGTAGACTCCGTTAGCGACCAGCACAAACACGTCCGCGTCCAGGCAGTACTGGTCGATCCACTCGTCGAGGTTGGGCGTGACGTCGACGCCGGGCGAGTCCACCAGCACGACGTCACCGCGCGGCCAGTGCACGTGCACCCGCGAGCAAGTGAAGTAAGTTATACTCACGGTGACCATGAGCGTAGACTCCGCGTTAGCGACCAGCACAAACACGTCCGCGTCCAGGCAGTACTGGTCGATCCACTCGTCGAGGTTGGGCGTGACGTCGACGCCGGGCGAGTCCACCAGCACGACGTCACCGCGCGGCCAGTGCACGTGCACCCGCGAGCAAGTGAAGTAAGTTATACTCACGGTGACCATGAGCGTAGACTCCGCGTTAGCGACCAGCACAAACACGTCCGCGTCCAGGCAGTACTGGTCGATCCACTCGTCGAGGTTGGGCGTGACGTCGACGCCGGGCGAGTCCACCAGCACGACGTCACCGCGCGGCCAGTGCACGTGCACCCGCGAGCAAGTGAAGTAAGTTATACTCACGGTGACCATGAGCGTAGACTCCGCGTTAGCGACCAGCACAAACACGTCCGCGTCCAGGCAGTACTGGTCGATCCACTCGTCGAGGTTGGGCGTGACGTCGACGCCGGGCGAGTCCACCAGCACGACGTCATCGCGCAGCAGCGCGCATAACTCGCGCGGCCAGTACACGTGCACCAGCGAGCATTCTTGCAGTCGTGACGCGCACAACGCGTGCCCTAGTTGGCTCACCGACTGCAATGTAAAATACGCACTCAGGTTACACACTTAAGTGCTTGTTCACGTTGACTCGCGGGCGCGGTGACGAAATATCAAACATATGTAGTGTAAAATAAGGGCCCAAATCTACTAAATAAAACCAACTGCTTTGAAAACAACACCAGGTTTATTCAAAGAGCGAACGAAATCCTCATGACACCAAATGCTTATATAGATCAGAAAAAATAAAACGATACCGCGATCTAAAACCGTACAGCGCCATCTCTTGGTGTCGATGAGAACTAACTATTACATTGCTTAAGCATGACACACTAGTTTTGCACTTACATTTTAGTACCAAAATTGGACATGTAGATATTCCAAGTGTTCACGTACGAAACGCAGGTGCGGTCTAACTAGCGGGCAAGCTAGGGACTGGTGCGCGCGGAGCGCTCGCGGTAATTTCAACGCGTGAAGACGTTTGTGTGTGTTCATGTCAAACTAGCGGCGGCGCGCGCGTTTCACTCGCGACGTCAGGTAAGTTTAACCAGTTTGAACTTGTCGCTAGAAACGATAGTACGTCACACTCGCGCGAACGCCTGGTGGTTAATGTGAACACGAGCTCGCAACGTTTCCCGCGCCCGCACCCGCCCCCGCGCCCGCGCGTACCTACGTGAAAAAGCACTAAGCCGTTTTCTGACTTGTCGGCGCGGCAACGGCTCCGTGCCGCGCCATGCGCCGGTCAGGAACGCTCCATTGAAATATAGGCGCACACTTAAGGGCGTTTTTAGTGTCGGATTTGTTCACTGAAACGGGATTGGCCCCCATGTGTCAGTTTCCTGCGGGTTGCATTAGTTGAATATGCAGATGCCCAACACTGAGGTGTCGTCCCGCATCCGTATATCTTGCTTAAAAAACAAATACGCACTGTTTTTGCGGGTGCACGCACGTATGCGGGCCAATGCTGCGTGCGTAATCAAATCCACATGAAACAAAACTGCCCTATATTGTAGTGGGGGTTGGAAACACAAACGTCACTCTTGCTACTAGCTTAATATCACTAAAATTACTTCATTAATATCCTCAGAAAAATCTAGTAAAAAATTGACCTAATGAGGGCTATCGTTTTAGCGCTCACCAGTTAGCGCCACTGTAGAGTAAGGTCCTGTCACTTGCTAGTAGCGAAGACAGTGGCACCAACTGGTGAGCGCGAAAGTGGTAGGAGGACTATCGCATTTGCGCTCATCAAGATGGCGCCACTGTAGAGTAAGGTCCTGTCAATCGCCAGGGGTGCCAACTGTTAAGTATAAAAACGATAGCCCTCATTAGAGACCACACACCATAACATCTATCACGCTAATCCCACCTGTACATTCTGCTTCTCCTCGGAGCCCTCGGTCCTGAGGAAGGCGTCGTCGGTGTCGGAGCCCTCGACCTGCAGGAAGCAGTTGGTGGTGTGCCCGATGCCGCTCGGCAGGATCTTGTCGTGCAGCATGGCGTTTATCACCGTGCTCTTGCCGTTACTCGTCCTTAAAGGAATTGCTGAATTGAACTTTATATGCAGTTTTCTGGGGCAAACTTGGCCTTCACTGGTTGGGTTTTTATTGGCGGTGTAGCAGTCTTAGCTACACAGGAGTTGCAATGGTGGGAATAGACCCGCTTATAGTTTTCTCTAAGCTACACGGACTTTGAATTTGGCTATAAAATATGGCGCGAATTCCTTGGACGAAAAGTACCACTGATTTGTAAGCTACTGAGATAGGTTACTAAAACATACCTAATTATTACAAAAACCTTATTTTGGTGTTTATTACTGGGGAATTGGCGCAGCACAGTTCAGTGTCACCGATCTCACTGTCATCATGAAAAGGTTTTCACTTGGACACACATGGTTGAGCTTAACTTCCTAGATATTGTACGAACCTGCCGAAGAAAGCGACCTTCATGTGATCTCGCTTGAGGACCTCCCTGATGGCTTGCACCTTGCTGACGTAGGCCTCCACATTGGCGACGTCCTGCGGCGTCGCGATGCCTTTCTCGCCTGACACTGCTGCAAAGTTATCGCCATTTTAATATTAATTTAGGATCCAATAATCCATAACTGGTGATAAAAAGCACACTAGAATACTAAAGAAATTTTTCTAAACTCTATGCTTGGTGTGTGTATTTTGTAATTTTACCTTGGTAAAGAATTTATGTAACTGTTTTGAATTTGGTGTATTTTATTTTAAATGACACTGTCAGGGCAGAGTCCAATGATGATTTATTCAGAAACCACTATTAGGTGACCTGATTGTGACTGGAAAATGGATTAGGATAATATGGAACTTTTATTGATTGCAATTGATTAAATGGTACCATAATATGCCTAATTTTAAGAAAAAAGAAAAGGTAAATGCTTTTGCTGTTTTTATTTGAAAGACAAGGCTTCTTTAAGTAACTTCATAAAATGACTTTTAGCATGATAAAGATATTTCATTTCTTTTCAATTACTATTATTTAAAACACCATTCCCATTTAGAAGTCACATACAGTCGTGGTCAACTAATTAGGGACAGATAGAATACTAAGCAATACTAAGTGTTCATATCCTATTATTGTGAGCTTCATTCGATATTACTGGCTGTTACTTTGTAAACATATTGACTATCAAGTACTCTATTTAACAGAATACAATAACAACAAAAAAACTTACTAACTTAATAAAAAATCTAAATCAAATCACATGAATCGGTAATTATGGTACGGACGGTCTGGCCACCTAATTAGGGACGCTTAAGTTTTTTCTTCTAAATTAAAAAAAATAAAAAGTAATAACTTTTATTCTGTTCTTTTGTAATTTCGGCGTCAATTTGAAAAGCGATATTCTTATCTTGAGAGTTAAAAACTCATCAAATTATTAAAGGTAATGGGCTGAAAGAAAAGCAACAATGCGCTAAGTTATAATCAATCTTTATCAGTGTGGATGGCCATACCGGTAAATTGCAGAACATCTGAAATGTTCAAAAACATGAATCTACGATGCAGTGGCTTATTTCAAAATCATGAAACCATAGAAAGTATGCCTAGAAGGAAGAAGCCAATAAAAACAACCCCACAAGATGATCGCAGAATGGTCACTCTCGCAAAGAGAGACCCCTTTAAGGGTTTCGTTCTGATCAAGAGCGAAATTTTTGGACCAGAACCGACTGCTGGAGTATCTGCAAGGACCGTCAGAAGGCGACTGGTGGAGGCAAAGCTTGTAGGAAGAGTTCCTCAAAAAGTTCCACTACTGAAGATGGAACACAAAAAAGCAAGATTGGCGTTTGCAAGAAAGTATGGACATTAGGCTTTTGCTCAATGGATAAATGTGCTGTTTTCTGATGAGATCAAGATAAATCTTATTTCATCCGATGACAGACAATACGTGCGACGACTTGTAAAGTCCGAAATGATACCAAAGTAAACGAAGAAGCAGGTGAAACATACAGGCGGCAATATAAAAATCTGGGGATGTTTTTCTGGACATAGAGTGTAACCTATAAAAAGAACTGAAGTTAAACTTGAGCAATTCCAATACAAACAAATATTGGAGAAAACGATGCTATCGTATGCTGAAGAAGTCTTACCAGTCTTATGAACATTTCAACACGATAACGACCCAAAACATACCGCGTACTCTGTTTAATCGTTCCTAGCGCAACAGTCAGTGACGGTACTAGATTGACCCGAAAACAACTCAGACTTAAGCCCTATAGAGCTTATGGTATGAAACGAAGGAAAAAGTTGCAGCTCAACGTACTGGCACTAAAAATAAGCTTTTCGTGGCATTTCATGGTGTTTGGAATAATATTTCTTTAGAAACCTGTAATGATTTGATTGCATCCATGCCGCGCCGATGTCAAATGGTTATAACCAACAAAACCAACCATATTGGTTATAAAAATACGTTTGATGATTTTGTTTTGTATTCTATATTTATTAATGAAAACTTTTTATGTAAAAAACACTTAAATAATTTCCAATTTATTTACATTTACAGTGAAAGTGTTACGTGTCCCTAATTAGTTGTCCATCCCTAGGTCAATAAATGTGTAGGTGGCAATGATTTATTTATTTTAAAAATATTGATCGCAACTAGCTAGTTTCTTTTCTGGCCTTTAAATATTTAGAATACTAGCCAAATTACTTGTTATTAATAGGCACAAGCGACAAAGCCTCGTGAAGATTTTTTTTCGGACTGGAGAGACGGTCTTGTGTTTAAGTCATATAACGTCCCTAATTAGTTGACCACGACTGTAGATCCCTAAATTATGTAACAACAATAAAACCATTAGGATACAAGGTCAATGTAAATTAATGGCCTTGTAAATATTTTCATGTTTATTACCTCTTATCACCAATCAAATAAGGTTTACAATTGGAGATAATATGATGGAAGTTAGTAGCTCTACCATTGACCTCAATTTAATAATGTTTAACTGTTTGGTTTAATGAGGCATATGCTTGAAACAAATCAATGTTTACCACCGGAAACAAATACATAGCACTATAAAATAATTAAGTATGTATTTATGCCCATGGCTGCATAGATTTTGGCCTGTTTATGAGTTAATAAATTTAATATTCACATGAATGAAATAAATAAAAAGTATATTGTTAAGGTTTGCTAAGTTAAGTACTTCTTAAAACAAAAATATAACAAGTTAGGTTCATGTATCACTTGGTACTTGTACTTACCATGCATAAATGTGACAGCATCTTTAACATAGTCATCAATTTCTATGAAAATATCATTGATCTTCTTCTTAGCCCTCACAAATATCTGGAGCGGAGAGTCCACATTGGACATGTTGACGCGCACGGAGCCGTTGTTGAGCGTCGCAACGTTGTGGGGCCCGTCGCCAGCCATCATGGATATCGAGCGGTTAACATATGCAGCCATACGGGAAGGAAAGACGCACGGTTGTCGTTAGCTGAACCTTACGCCGGACAAGGCAACAATATAGTCACTGGACCACTTCTACAGTTCGAACACAACATGCAGGGTGCGACTGCAACAGAAAAATAACAAGCATAAGAGTGCAGCAAAAACACAACAATGCAGCAATGTGAAAGCAAAGTTTGGGGGCTAATTGTGGGGAATAATTAGTTTGTCATTAAATAAATATGTGGAACAGATTTATTAACTTTCACAGAATAAATCAGTTCCCATCAATATAAAATCACCGTTAATTTTAATTACTTATCCTATGATGGAGCATGTAATTAATTGATAAGACCAACCTCATTCTGGGTGAGTTACCACAAGCATATCAAAAGGTTGGATACTAGGGTTTAAAAAAGTACATTTTCTTAACAAATCTACACAATGATCACGAGAAGAATTTGAAATTTGGCCAAAGAAATTATAGAGCAAACAAATCACGGAAGCATGTTACAAATGCAAGTAAATTGCACCTTATCATCTCGTTGCATCATAGCAATCGATGCACATCCCTGCAGCCGGAGCAGCATGTAATATAACACATTTCTCTTTAAACTATATTTTTAGATAAAAAATAGGAAAAATCAATTCGACGTAAAACAACTGACAGCCGCTAAATATAAGTCAAGTGATCTGCACTCAAAACTAATCAGAATCTCCATTGCACAAAGATGAAAATTTGAAGAAATTACATTTTAGACTTACCTAAGCCTTATGGAATCATTTTAAACTTACAACTTGTAATTAAATTAATTTATTTTCAACAAAAATTACATACCACTAATTTTTTTCATTTATGTTTTTTTTATCTGTCTGTTTTCAATTTGCATTTTTTGGCCATCTTCTCTAGTAAAATCAGTTTGTTCTCTTGTTCCGGGTTTCAATAATTCTATTGGTCGCTTATAAATTTTAGCCAATAGCGTCATGGAATCTTGCAACAGCAAACAAAATCACATGAAAAAAAAATAAGTTACACTACGACCACTGAATTTTTCAGGGGTTTTGTAGCAACAAATAAATTGTGCTGCACAACGATAAATTCGTAATTAAAATATTTTTTGAACAAACAGAATTCGCAGGAAATCGAATTCGCCGCAAGTGACATAAATTGATAAATTTATCCAAAAAATCGAACGCAATGATATCGTAGCCCTACTAGTGATTTCCACAGAACAAGTATTTAAAGTAATTGAAATTGAACACTCGAATAAATAAGCCAGTTCAATTTAATAAAATCGATTTAATTTATCGGTTCATTTTTAAGAGCACAATTAAGAGGCTCACAGGCAATCTAGCATACAATTACATTACAGTGGGTGGGACACAAGTACATTATTTAAATCATGGGGATTAGAATTAAATGAAATCATGTAGCGGTCGTCGGCTATTCACAAAATTCTTGACACGACGACATGGCGACACAAAAAAGGACCAATTTCTTAAATTACTGCTGAATTCCGAAATAGGACATTGAAATTAATTTGCTTGATGTAGTCTTACTTACATGATTAAGATGTTTAAATTCATTTGGAATCGATTTTTCAATTGAATGCATTTTTGAGTTATCATTGAATGATTTAATGGCGGATTAGCGACGGAGCAGCAGCGTTTGGCATTTGGCATACGAACGGTGTGCTTGTGACTTTTGAAAGAGATTATTTACTTATTTTGCAAGTTATTCAATTACATTTCCCGCAATTAGTCTTGTGATTAATAATAACACATAAAATGTCTCGTTCCGTCCGTGCCGAGACCAGAAACCGAGTAAAAGATGACATCAAAAGAGTCATGCAAGCTGTTGAAAAAGTTCGCCATTGGTAAGACATAATTTCACTTAGTTTTTAAATAGTTTAATAGAAATGGTTTACTTTTATGATACAATTACACATTATGTTTTACTATCAGGGAGAAGAAATGGGTCACAATAGGCGAAACCACTATGAAAATCTACAAATGGGTCCCCATATCAACTAATGAGCAAAAGAAAAAACACGCGGCCAAACGAGAAAATAAGGAAAATACTTTGACGCCAAAAAAGGTTCATGACTCTTCTAATTCAAACTTCGGTATGGCAGAGGACTCTAACACTTGTAAGTAAACAAAATATAGCTATCTTTCCATTGACTGGTATTCCCTAAAACTTCGTCGCCATTACAGATTGTGTTATTTTTCAGGTTTTTCTACAGTCAGCGACTCTCAGGGTCCAACAGATTTCACCTCGACCCATATGAATTTCTCTGAAGACTCAAATTCACAGAGCAGTGGTACAACAACTCCAGCAAAGCGGTTAAAAACTGACTGAGTGTAATTCAGGTAGTGAATTAATTGCAATAAATAGTAAATAAACAATGATAAGGACTACTAAAACTGACTATCTTTGTAGTTGGTTGTGATGTTTTCAACAGTGGTGTGCTGTGAAGTTTTATTTATAAGCTTGTATTTAGTTTGATGATACTGTCGAATTGAAGAGTGTACAATTGTATGTTACTTAAATTAGGTAGATTATAAGGTGTATTTGGTGAATGTTCTTGGAAATTAACAGTATGTATTTAATAGTTTCTAAAAACTACATACTTCTTGCTATGTACAGGGTACAAAGAAGGAAGGATTATCAGCTCATTACTGCAGCAGTTTTTATGTTCCAAAAGGCTGAAGTAATACAAATAATTTTATTCCAAACAATACTTTCCTTTGCTTGTACCTTTTTAGTAGACATGAAACTTGAAAATGTTATCAAGTAACACATGCTTGCCATTCCCATTACATTTTGGTTAATAACATCTATTGTAAATAGTTACTTTAAAATGTGACCTAAAATTATCTTAATTAAGAACCTGAAATTGTAACCAAATAATTATGAGCTGTACACATTTTATTGACCTCAGAGTAGGTTATGTTTCTACTGCTTATTGTGTTCTTACTTATCTGATGAATGTAGTGCAGTTGCGAAATGACAGACAAATTAAAACTGTTAATTTTATTAAAAAAATGATTTATAATTTATGATAGGACAATACAAATTATTAATAAAAATTTATGAGATAGCATTACAGAAATTAGTATGATTTTTCCTCTGAATCCACTGATGATGCAGTTTGCTGTGAACCATAGGAATCTTTGGTAGAGAACTGTTCTGATATATTGTCCACTTCTGTTATGCCTATTATGTTTGTCACAAGATCGCTGAACGTTATTTCCTGTAAAAAATATTTATTTTTACAAAAGCTGTAACAAGCATGCGCACTTGAGCTATTTATTTAAAAAACGGAACAGTACCTCTGGCAAAAAAGAAAAATCACTTTCTGGCATTGCTGCTCTATCTTCGAAACTGTGGCCAGAGAGGATTGACAGCAAATACCAGGACAAAGTAGGAGGGAAACATTCACCTGTAAATTTTAATGTTTAATTGGAACAATAATTTTGTCTTATTATAAATAAAAATGAAACCAATGTCTACTGATATACAGCTGTTTCTAAAGATGCGCATTTGATAAGTAACTAAAAAGCAAATCATCCATTTTGTTGCGAATTAGCTCTTATTACACATACAAGTAAAGATGACACAGTGTCTAACTGCCGTCGTCTTCACCGAAACACTTGTGCATGCAAGCTACGAACGAAATAATCTGCTTACCAAATCCAGCGAGCATATCCACGAAGTCGTCTCGATGCATCACGTAGACGTCGTTGTTGAAGGTGGCGAAGTGCTGGAAGGCTGCACGCAGGCGCTTGAAGCTGTCTCCAAACGCCGGCCGGTGGTTCAAGTACAACTTCACAAACTCTTCGAAGTCGATCTCCGTTGATGGGTGCCTCTGGTACACTTTGTACTTCGCTTCTACGATAAGGTTTTCGACCTAAAAAGTAACTGAGTACTAAAGTACTGAGTTCTTAAAAAAATGTGAAAATAATCTATAAAAAAAAGTTAATCCTAGGTATGGCATTGATTAATGTATTAGTTCACATAACCGAAATAACCAGACAGCAACAGATAAGCAACAAAGAGTGGGCGGATAGAAATCCGTAGGTATTTTGATAGTAATTCATGCGGAAGCTGAGCATTACAAAAAGCCAAGTGTCATTAATTTTTTACACGTAACATGCGTAACGCTACTACAATATGCAAGAACCAGGACCACAGCATGCACCTCATACTCAGTAGGGAAGAATCCCAAAGCCCTCATAAGATCGGGAAGCGAGTCAATTGGAATGTAGTCCTTCACCCGCCTTACAGCTGGTGAAAAGGTGCCCTGGCACAGGATCTGGATGTAGTAGAACAGGTCTCTAATCTCCTGGAACAGCCAGCCGGGTCTGCCGTTCTCGATCAAACAATAGTACGGGTCTAAGTCGCCTCCTCCTAGCTTGGTTGTTGTTTCTACCGATCTAAAAAGTAAGAAAAAAGAACAAAATAAGTAGGTAAGACGTGCTTGGCTAAAAATAATCATGCCTTGCATTATGGTGACATCATAGTTACGACAAGTTACGTTTCGCTAAAAGTGTGTTGATATGCTATTTATTATCACTATCATAAGTCGCAATCTGTAACTTTAAATTTAATCGGCAATAGTCAATACTTTCCTGTAATTGGCAGCCCATTGATACATGCAACTATCTTTGGATCCAATAGTGAAGAGTGTGCCGGTATCTTCGCGGAAACACATGCCGATAACCTGGAATTTAAACAGCCAGTAAGATCCTTACGTCACGTGCTATAAAAACAAAAGAAATCTAGAATCACCTGCAGAGGATGACCAAGCAGTCCGACATGTTTCCACGGGTTGCCATCGAGCGGCATCTTCTGCATGCCTATGACATTCTTGGTGGCAAACACCAGGTATTGCAGCACTTCTTCCTCCTCCTTTCGCGAGATAAGCTGCATGCGGGACACGGGGTGCTCATATCGTGGACCTAACACCGTCGCCATCGTCATCGTCGTCGAATAGTTGATGATTTTGTACTTATTCTGCAGTAGAATTTACGTTGTTAATGTGCTGTTTATCATCAAGACAATAACAAGGATGCCGAGAAACTTACCTCATCATTGGCTATGAGAATAGTAGGCAGATTTGGGCGATATTCAACTTGATCTAGACCCGGTGGTACTGGCCAATTAATTCCCGTGAGAGGCACAGCCGTTTGCTCCATCCTGTCCAAACTAAACACTTCTAGGTATTCATCAGAACTCTGCCCTACGTCATATTCCACCTATAGCCAAAGACAATAATCTATCACAATGCTCAAATGTTATGGTATATGATTATCTAGGATCAGACTTCAAAAATTTACCATGATGCGGTCAGCGCCCAAAGATAGAAGTTTATATTCCCCATCTAAATTTCTCTCCGGCAAAAAGAACACTGCGGTCACATCCTTGTAATGCGCTCTGTGCTTTCCAACAAAGTTCCAAACAAACTTGTCGCAGTCATACTTGTAGACTCCGACTGTTCTACTCGTATCCTGAAATTGTTACTATTTCGGTTAACTCCAATTAACATTTCCCATTAACTTCTTGATAAGTGAAGGCACTTACGGAAAACGCCATCGTTAAAGAATCGCAGCTGTAGTTGATCTCTTTGATCGCATGGTTCGTATCTTTGAAAGGAGTTTGGGTCAATATTTCTATGGTGGTAGGATCAAGGAATATGATTTCACCGGTGTTGAGCCCGCATGCCAGGTGTAATCCTAGAAAATAAGCAAAACTGTACATAGAAAATATTCCCTAAGCGCACAAATAAATTGATCGCTTCTTTGCTACCTGAGGGCGAATACTTCAAGCAAGTGACTGAAAGTTCTGGCATGTTGACTTCATAGTTACATTTGATGGAGTCATCCTTGGGCGGGATGACCACCTTGTAGTGTTCCCGCAGGTTGATTCGCACAAAAAGCTTGTGCTGGATGAAGTTGAACAACTCTAAAATGCCGTCTGCGTACCCAATACAGAGGAAGGGCCTGGAAATCGATGGAATGTACATTTAGATTGATCGAAAGTGAAAATAATGATAAAAATATGGTTTTATTACTTTTCTGGATGCACCGATATTGATAGAGCGTGTGAAGGCTTGTTATCCAAGATAATGTGATTCTTCTCCACAACATAATCCACAAACCCTACGCCTTGATTTTGCGTGCCTGAAACAATTAGAAAGTATGGAAAAAAATACTGTATCATTTTACAGAATGTTTAAGTAACTTTAAATGGACTTACAGACAATGAAGTCTCTCACAACAATTGGTTTTCCTTCGGTAGTGGCATCACTTGGTATCTTCTTCTTCATAAGCTTCTGACGCACAGTACCTGTTTCTGGGTCTTCGTCCATTACCACTTTTTCCCAACATGGGCATAACTTGTTACCTACAAAATTTTCAGTGAATGAAAGTCAACGGTCGCGTCGTCTTGATAACAAATATTTGAATTTTTCAACTTACACTTCGGATCGAATATCTTGTAACTCCTCGGCGATATGTTGAAGCTGAGACCTTTGACGCTGTCCACCTGAAAGCCATGTATCCAGTACAGCAGCTTCATCTGGTCGTCATAGAAGTGGATCTCGCCAGAGTTGTTGCCAGTTATGACAAAACTAAGAAAATGCAAAGCCAGCTTATTAAAAGTGCAAAAACAACTAATAAACATTGTTTGGGAAATAATGAGACAAAATTTTAAGTAAAAGATGAGATGGCAATCTATGGAATAAAGTCTCAAAACTTACCCATCGATGCTCTTAATGACGTTAATCTTATCCTTCTCCATCTTCAACACTTTGACGAATTTCAGGTTCTCATAGTTGGAATCGTCCACATTCTCCTGGTACTCGATGGTGTACCCATAGATCAGTACGGCCCCCCTGCTCGTAGCCACCAGAACCTGGGATGTATCCTTGACGAAGGTGAAGCAGGTCAGCAGCCCAAGATCAGGATGTATTTTCTTTTCTGGTTTGCGGATTTTGAGTTCGTAGTCATCAGTCTCTTTTATTAGTCCTCGTTCCATAACAAATACTTTCTATAGGCATTTGAAAAGATATTTTAATAATATCATCACGAAGGTTCATCAAATCATAACGAAATAAATAATGACTAACCCCTGAAACGCCTATCCAAATATCGTTCTTCGTCATGAGCAAAAATTGTATAGAGTTGTGCGGATTAAACTCCATCGCTATGATGGAATCTTTTGGTAGATCCACTTCTAGTTTCGCTAGAATAAATTATGTAAGAAGGCATACATTATCCGAGTTAGAATAGGAATAATACCTATTTAGAATATTACTATACGAGTCATGCAGGTGCCTACTTATGTGTAGAAGATGTGCTTTATCTACGCTATTGAGATGCTTCATTGTTTC